TGCTGGGCAGCAGGTTGGAGTCGCCGTGTGACTGTGTATGGGGACTTGTGTCTCCTTCATTTCCTTGGTCAAGGACTATAGTTTGAGCCAACTGTCTCTGGTTATTCTACCTCAGAACAGGGACTTGAGGGAATATTCCCAAGCAGCTGCCAAAACTCCTTTTGTTTTGGGGAAATTCCCTGTCTTCTCAGGACTGACATGGACTGTCTCGTTCCACTGGTGGCAAACAAAACAAAAGAAACCTGGAGTCTGCTCCTCTGTCTGAGCTGCCAAGATTTAAAACTGGGAATTCTCTTCTCTGCCTTCCGCTGGCACCTGTCTCTTCTGCCTTCCCTTCCCCGCTCCTGTTTCTGCACCACCTGGGGGGCGGCTGGCACAACTGGCTCCTCAATGCCTCAGGCACCATCAGCTCCTCCTCCCACCCTAGATGTCCAGGAACAAAGACCATCGATGTCAGATTTCCCCACCAACGTTGCAGGTAAAAATTAACCAAGGGGAACAAACTGTCTTACGTGGACTCAAGTAAAACGTATTCAGTGTTTAAGCTAATTTAAGTTTGTTGGTTTGAGATAGATGATGTTTATCAACATTGAAAAAACTTTTATTCTACCTTGATTTGCTGAGGGTCAAATAAGCTCATGTTATCTCTGTTCGAATTTGTTAACAAAAGGATGACTTAAAGTGACAGTTAATTTTGTCAGTCTCTTAAGTTTTCATGGGTAATTGTTAAGATAGCTTTTAAAGTCTTTGGTAACCTAAAATGTTAAAGTTTTGCTTGCATGCATGCTAAATTGAGATTGAATTCATTCGATATCTAATGAGATAAGAGGCTAAACCACTAATTACTAGATGTAGGTTTGTGCTTCTGACTTGTTGCAGAAATAAACAAAGGATATTTGGAACTGTTGAAAAACATGCTTTGTGCTTAATGGATTCTAAGTTTGCCATTTAAAAAAATTCTGATGTAACATAGAGTTCACAATTGGTTACTACTTAGTTTTCACTGAAGACTAAGGTTTCTAAGAGTTAAAATTCTGCTACATGTAGTTAAAACTGATAAAAATAAGAAAAGCAACTCTGTATGTAGAAAGTAGTAGATATGAAAGAAAGATGTAAGAAATGGAAATATATTTTTGTTGAAGGTAAAAGAAAGTAATTTTGTCCTAAATGAGACTGGTTATTTGGAGAGAAATGGCTTGGGACAAAATCTAAATGCAAGGAAAAATTGTAGAATGTTCGTGAAGGAAAATATTTAAAAAGAAATTTTATGTGTGGTCAGGATGGACTAAGGTTAAAACAAATGGATTTTAAAAGTACACAGGGTTGAGATTAAAATTCTTCCTCCTTTGATCCAAAGGCTGGGAAAATGACAATACCCTTAGTGCGGTCCTCCAAATCCTTCATATTTGTGTTGTTCCTACTTAGCAGGGGAATGGATGCCTCTGCCATATGAGGGATAGATAATATACAAAGGGCTTTTACTAAGATACATGAGAGCCATTTTACTAAACGTAGCCCATTGTATGCCAAAAATGGATTTCCACATGACTGAAACATATTTATGTGGGCATTGTTGAAAAAGGCAGGGGAATAGACCTTGACTTTGGCTCTTTAACCCCTTCTCTCAATGGCCAATGATCAATATATAAGTTACTGTTGGGCCAAAATAAAATTAGTACATCCTATGGCAACCAGGAAAGTCTTGCTTAGTCACAGTCCATACTCCCAAGGTCCTACAGGTGGGAAACAGAGGGGTAAAAACAAACAAACAAACAAACAAAAGACAAGACAAAACAAAACAAACTGGAAAGACCAGGCCTGCTCTCAAAGGTAAGGTCAAGCCCGGGTAAGAATGACTACTCCCAGCACCTCACAAGCCTGACAGGGCTTTTGGCTGCCAGTCGCATAGCCAGCCAAAACAAGAGGCCAGGGAGATGAGGTTTCTCCTGGCCAGCTATAGGAAATTGAGATAAGGGACAACTTTCTTCCTTTTTCCTACAGATGGGTAATTCCCCAACCAAGGCCATTACTCCTTTGGAATGCATTATGATTCATTTTCTTTTGCACCAAGGCTTGGCCCCAATACAAATTGGAAAAGGGAACCTGGACACCAGAGGAAAATATCA